GGTAACGGCCTCCCCCGCGCCCGTCGGGGCCGTCTCCGCCAACCACTCGCAACCACTACTTCTTGTCTGCCAGATCCATCTGCCCGTCCATGTGACTCGCACCTTTCCGCACCCACTCCCCCGTTAATTGCCAGTCGAGGACAGGTTGGTCCATCCCTTTGTGTCGCCGCGTCTAATTCTCCTCTGCCATTTCCAGTGCGGCACACCCGTGCCCGGCCCGGCGCGCAGCTCCACGCAGCTCGGCCCCCAGCTTATCGCCAGGACTGGCCTTGGGGCCTGCCAGGGGCCTAGGCCATTGCCATTGCCATTGCCACTGCCCGGCACGGCGGTGCGGCCCCTCCAAGAGACCCCACCCCACCCCACCCCGCCCCGCCCCACCGCTCTCCTTCTGTACGAAAGGCTCCGGCCCCCGGTTCGCCGCGCGTAGAGGCCGCTCGCGCACGGGAAAACGTATCCCCGCGTATCCCATTGAAACAAAGCAATAAATCTGTCCAGGGATCTAATAGAGCAGGTTTGCTTTGTTCCGAGCCACCATTTGTGGCGTTGTTTCGATTTTACCACCTGCCGCATACCTTTGTTGTTGGTGTTGTGTTATTTTTGTCCCGTGGTGCGCATCGCGGAGGATCTACTCGGTTTCATTACAATGTCGGGGGTGTCTTTTAATTTGGCCGCGCTTGCCTATTAGGCCTGTTTCGGAAATGTATACTTACGTAATTTATGCTTTCTCTGTTTAATTAACTGCGGAAGAGCGTGGCTGCGGGTCATTTTGACTGTTCTCGGCTGTCCGCATCCCCGTAGTGAGTTTGCCCGACCCGGCCTTGCCCCCCCCCCTCTCCCATCTTTCCCCCCGGTCGTCGCGCTCAGTTGGCCACACTGCGACGACCATCCGCGCTGGGCGTCGCGAGCGTCGCGGGCGTCGCGCTGAGGGAGGGATAGAGGGAGGGCTTGCGGCTGCTTGCAGAGGCTGACGGGGTGATAGAGGCGAACGCCGGGCACTTTCGTCGTGTACTTGCTTCTCTGTTGAACACGTCCGTCCCGCACAATGTGCGGTGTGCGTCCTGTATGAGGAAGTGTTCACGGAGTTGCACACTTACAAGTACAGAACTACGGAGTAGAACCCATGCACTGATGACCTAAGTGTTCAACTGCTCAACACTTGTAAGTGTACAACTGCAAAGTTAAATACTTGCAAGTGTGCAACTGCGAGTTGAATACTTGCAAGTGTTCAACTCGGTAGGTGTGCACTTGCAAGTGTGCAACTCCTCGGTTAAGCACTTCCTTTACAGTGACCGTTAAATCAAAGGAAGTGTTCAACCGAGGAGTTGTACACTTGCAAGTGCACACCTACCGAGTTAAGCACTTTGCATGTGTACGACTGGGGAGTTGAGCACTTGCAAGTAATCAACTTGCAGTTGCACACTTACAAGTTTTGAGCAGTTGAACACTTAGTTTATCAGCGTGGAAGTGAACTTGGCGTTGCACTCTTACAAGTGTATACGGCTCCACACATGCCGTAGTGCATGGTGCCTTACACACGATAATTATTTAGCCCTGTATTTGAGTAAAGTTGGCCAGACGTGCCCAAAACGGAATGACAATTTTTTTTTACAGGGATGTGACTGCTATTTTTAACTTTGTTGTTGTATTTGTGTTTTTAATGTTTTTAAAGCCCTTTCTAAAGAAACGGACCTTTGGTATATCATACTAGACCTAGGTGGCTGATTAACCCCGCTCACTTCTGTAGTTACACTGTGCCGCACGCACGAGTGCAGGCGGGTTGCCTACCCGTTCGGCTCAGAAGGCGCTGTAGTCAGGGACTATGGGTAAGCCCACCCGCACTTTTGCGCGCGGTACAGCGTAACTACAGAAGTATCGGGGTTAATCAGCCACCTGGTACAAGAATTCACGGATCATTTTGAAGGAGTCATCTGTCCTCGCCCTTACCATGCCAAGCTCTGACGGCTGTCGCACAGCTTCTGTGAGGCTCTCTTCTGTTCTGACCGACGAGCCTGGTTGCTGGCCGACAACTCCGCGCTAACTTTTGTTTGAGCCGGTGGCCGACAGGTAGCGCCGTGACGCAGTGGGAGCCTCGCTTCCTATGAAGGTCAGATTTGTCTCGGCAACACGACTGATACGTACTGTACTCCAAGGTGCATGACCCCCCGGGGGCCCGGGCCGGGACTCAAGCGGGCCTAAAGCGGGCCCCACCCCTCATCACCGTGAGCGCGCTAATTTTATTTTCTTCATGTTGTAAGCAGCGAATTTATTGAAGCTCGGGGCCTTGCTTATCGTGCAGGAAGATGAAGCGTTCAATAAAGGGTCGCCAGCGAGCGCCAAAAAAATTCCATTCATTGAATTCAATTCATTATGCTGCTCGAGAGTTCGTCATCATCACACGCGTCTGGTTGTCATATGTGAAAAATCGTACCCCGCTCCGTTCATTTTTCTTCGCCCTGTTTTTGGCGAACATCATATGATTGTTTGAGAGACGTTGCCGTGATTGTAAGACAAACTCCCTCTTTATAAACGACCGTTAGGGTCGATTATACCAGACAGAGCGGTACAGTAGGAGGGGAGGGGGGGGGGCGTCATAGTTCAACACCACCTGTTGCATTTTAGAGCAGAGCTCATCTCGGTAACAGCCCAAAAATGAACACCTTACTCTCAGAGTATCCCGCACCTGGCGCCTGGCGCCTGATAGCCCCAAGCGAGTAGGCAAGGCGTCTACATGTCTGCATGCGGTACAAATAAACAAAATTGTAGTCCCGGGTCTGTGGGCCACCCTGTATGTTGGAACAGGGCATCCCTGCCCCACATAGTTAACTTTTTGTACTTTGCTTCAAAGAAAATATTTTTTTTTTAAGCCCAAAGAACTTACACTCCATCCAGTACCAGCATGCTGATGAACATTCCAGCTGTTAGCAAGTTTGTAGCATCGTTTAGGAGGACTACAATTATTTCAAATGGAGATACAAACCAGTAGTGGTGCACGGGCTGGTTTTGTTTCCGTCGTGACGGCGCTTTGAATGCGTGATTTATGAGAGCAAGGTGCCGGCGGCGTGGTAATTAGAAGTGAGCTGGATAAAACCAACGCCCGTCGTGGCCAGGGGCGTTATGTGTGTCTTTGTTCTTCTTTCGGATTTTGCTTACGGCACGACACGTGGTCTTGCACGTGTCTCCCGCAGTTCCCCCTAGTTTTGTCGCACACTTCAGTTGTCGGCTGCTTAATCTGCCACTTATTGCTGATGCTTTCGGAATTGCTGGCCGCGCGTTTGCTGTTCCTTTCCTTATGAGGAATAAGAATTTTGTATTTTAGCTAGCACACAGCGGGAAACGGCTTAGCTAACACCCAGAAAATCTTTGCCTTGAAACAGTGCAAAACGCATGAAATCAAGGAATTTTTCCTCGACAAATTAAAAGGAAACGTTTTCATTGCATGGCTAAGCGATAGCCCCCATGGATACACAAAGAACTGTAGTACACATAGTGTCCTGTCCAGACTTATAACCAGTACATAATAACTGTAGTGCATTAGTAAGTACCACTCTTAGTTCCTTTCAAAGAGCAGTCTTCGTCTTACGAAGGATTGGGGTTTGCAACGTACAAAGGATGGAACCCCCATATTACAAACGGATTTGCTTTGTATTACAAAGAGTACCTCTTCGTATTATGAAGCCGAGCCCTTCGCAATTCAGCGGATTTGTTTGTGTTACGAAGGTGCCAAATTCTTTGTTCATTACAAAGAGCTGGTCTTTGTAAGAAACTTACAGTGGCTGCAGTAAAAGGTGTTATACTGTACGACACTTGAGTTTCCAGAGTTTTGACGGATAACGCTTTTCAGTCTAATATCACTGATAAGAAAAGTGTGCAACTGGCACATGGTGGTGCTCAACTAATGGTGTTAGACTGGAAATTTGAATTTGAATTCTTAAAAGTGTGCAAAGCTCCATGATTTGTTTTACCAGTATGGGCAAGCACACTGCGTGGCCCCCGGTGGCCCCTCACTGGCGCGCGCTGATACCTAGCCTGCCGCTGACCCGCACACAGCTGGGGTCGGCGGTTGTACTTATCGCCTCCGTACACGCCGCGCCGCCGTCGCGACGGGCACGTCAGCTAAAATCGTGCGAGACTTGCGAATTCATCTCTTTATTTCTGTACTGCCGGCTTCATAACAGGTCATGCGGACCTGCAGTGGACTGGACTGGCGTGTGCAATCGGCGCGTGCATGATTCCGCCTGACAATGTACTTTTTATGTGGTTGGTATTATTTTATTTTGTTAATTTTGGGGAGAGGGAGGGGGAGGGGGGAGATGAGTTTGGGCGATATGATGCGACGCCGTTTTGGACGAGTATTTGGCCTGCAAGATCCAAATCGCGTCTCGGCTTCCCCTTGCCGGACGTGTTGCCACGCCCCGCCACGCCCCGTCCCACATGACGCACATTTAAACAATTTCAAGTTTCGTATCTGGCGTAACCCCAGGGCAGCAGATCCAGCGCACCCGATTCTACAGTACTCGTTTGTACTGCACTAGGGCATATTCACGGTGTATACTCACGCTTACTGTATTTGTGCGTTTTTGTGCAAATGCTCGAGCGAAGTTAAGCGTTAACTTAACCTACGTTTCGGACAAATTTGTGCAATTATGAATGTACAGAAGATTTCGAATCAACGCAGAAATGTGTAAAAAAAGATGTGATTGCTTTAAACGTGTTCAAAGAAAACATACAAATCCAGTTGTGTTCTGATAATAAAAACCATGTTTAACTGGCAAGCTCCTCCAGATATTTACACCCACTAAATCGTTACCTTGAACTAAGCAAAATTGTCCCACGTTAAAGAAATTGACCTTGAATTCGGGGTATCTTATGGTTCACTTACAGCCTTCGGCAAACCCTGGTAACCACCCCTAAGGGGATGGAAGGCAGGGACCTGTTTGTCCCCTACCCCGTTATCGCATCATAGCGTTGTTTATCAATTTTGCTTCCTTTTTCTGTTCCAGTTGTGAAGACTTCGAGAAGAGCCTGTTCCAGAGCATCGGTTTCAAGGAGCTAATGCCGTACGTGGCATTGTCGCCAGAGGAACGCACCTCGGACAAGGCCAAAAAGGCCCTGGCCGAGGGCGTGTGGCTGCTCAAGCAACGCACAATGAACTACGCGAACAAGCAGGTGCGATGGATCCGCAACCGGCTACTCGTCCAGAACAGAGATGTGAGTATTATATGCCAAAAAGTCACGTAAACGTTGGACAAATTCGTACAAATTGCATCCATGGCTTGGGATCATCCAGAAAGTGCCGCTTTCATTATCGTTACGACAAAACTGCCGATTTCAGCCTGTGCAAGCTCCCATAGCGCCTGGTAGGTAGGCAACGTATTACATTCAAGGCGTGCGTGTACTGGAGGTGGCCTACCCTAAGTCACACTGGCGTCAAACTCGAGCCCGTAATTTGCCGAAAGAATCTGATAAAAACTGACGTACTCTCTGGACGATCCCTAAGCAGAAGCAGATTAACGCCATAGTGTCCTAGTCCCACACTGATATCACACCTATAACTGCAGTGCATTAGTGCTTTCTGGATCCACTGTTTGACGGATTGGCTTACCCAGTACGTAGCATTTTGGCAAATTTCGTCAGTTAGTGGCGCCGATAACTGCTGTTAAATCGCTGTAGGCTCAACGCCCCCCCCCCCCCAACCTTCCCTAAACGGCGAAGCGTCCGTGCGCAAAAGTGGCTGTTCTCCAAGAACATCGTTTTTCAGGTCCCGCCGGTGTGGCCGCTGGACGGCACGGACCCTCTACGTTGGGAGGAGCTTGTGGCGGCCCCGGCGCGCGCCATCGTGGAAGCGAGGCTCCGCGGTGAGGACCCCGACGCTGCAATCCGCCCTGCCGCGAAGGAGCGCATGGCGCTCACGCCCGAGGAGCGCCACATGACCTACCGCTGCGCCCCGTGCGGCCGCCCCTTCATCGGCCTCGAGCAGTACAACATACACCTCGCCGCTAACAAGCACCGGAAGGTCCTGGCCGCCATCCGGAGGGCCCAGAGCGAAGTGGTGGGCACCCTGGACAGGCTGGTTCAGCGAAAGCGGGGGGACGCAGTGACGGGCTCAAGCAATCCAAAAGCAGAGGAGGGAACTACGGCGCACTCGTGTGTATGACATTGGCAAAATGCATCGGACTTGTCACGTTACTAATTCATTCATAAGACTGGAAAAACAATGTATAGATTTGGAGAAAACTATAAAGAAGCAACTAGATGTATGTAGTATGTATGGAAACCGCGAAGGCTGATAAGTGGCTATAATTTTGTCGACAAAACATAGGAAACCTTTTACTTACATACCTAATAGTTGTAGTGAGAGGCACCCCATGTGCTGCTAGGTGTTAATTATTAATGACTGTGCTTTGTTGCGCACTCCAGTTCCATATGTTCCAATGTGTTTAAGGGAAAAGCAACACATATTTTGTTATGAAAATGGGCTTTGATAATCCTAAATAAACAGGGGTTTTGAACAGGGTTTGCATATCAAATGCTTAAAATCAGTAGCACTAAAATACTTATAAACAGAAAACATTTTTGTGAGTACAATCGAGAATGGAAAAACATAATCAAACTGCAGTCTAAGGAGAATTCAATGCTCAAGAACTACCAAAGATGAAAGGAAAGTCACCCAAAGAAAAACCGAAACAAGAAAGAAAAATTATTGATGTTCAGTTATTGGTAAACTATGGAATTCTTCTGTCCCTGAAATTTTACACAACAGTATATATAACTTAAGTTTTTCTTATATTTGTATTTTAAAAGCTCATTTCTTCAATTTGTGTAGTGCTATAAAATTCCTGACTGGGATGCCCAATAATCATGAAATACTCTCTTCTAGTCATTAAATACATAGTAAAAAGACTAAAAGTGAATGTCTTTGTGGGGTGTGATTGCTCTAGCAATTTCATAAATGTTGTATTATTCATAGCAGATGAACACAGTTTTGAAAATAGCAAAATTTGATTCAGAAGAGTACTTACCTGTCAAGGGAATTTTATTGTCAATGTCAATACAATGAAAAATAAAATGGAGGCAGAGGGCAGCTATTAGACAGTGGCAAAGCTTAGAAGTCAGTTTAATAAAGGTACTGTAGTACTCAATGATCACACAGTTAACACCAAACACTCACTTTTAGTCATTTGAATGTTTTTAACTGTCAAAGTGAGTCTCTCTCTGCCTGTTTGGACTAGCAAGTCAAAATTTAGGCAGAAAGAGCCTTTCTTTGACAAAGACAGTCAAATGACTAAAAGTAAATGTGAGTGTTTTGTGATTATTGGGCACTGGGAAAGATATGTTATCATATCCACAGAAATTTGATGCAAAAAGAACCCATAAGACCTGCATGCTAGTGTCGCACTAATTCAGAAAACATGGTCGTGGCCAGAAAACCATTTTGACCACTACACCCACCCAGAGAACACAGTTCTCTTAAAATGACGTCAAGGATGTCAGTGTCAAAATTTTGGTATATTTGTGGCCTCCTTTCATGTCAATTTGATATCAAATGACATAATTTGATAGCAAAATGATTTCGAATTAGGTCACCAAAATGACCAAATATTGACACTAACATCACTTTGTCATTGTGATGAAACCGTGAACTAAACCACAACTTATCTAGGTGCCTTGACCAGAACATCAAGAATAGTTAAGATGTAAGGTGATGCAAAACAAACGTCGGGCAGTGAATCTAAATCACACCCTCAACTTACTCAAGTAGTAGTTGTTTTTCTTTGCTTTCTGTTAGTGGTATTCCTATGTCAATTTAGGTTTTCCTGGATCAATTTAGGTTTTTGCCTGAAAAGAAGAACATCTTCCTCTAGCAAACATCTTGTGATGCATTAGTTCCATTTCATAGTTCCCATGTTCTGTTTCATAAATATTGTCATTGATCCTGGGCTTGCTCATTTATTTAGTTTATTACAATGCATACTTACCTATCTTAACTTTTGTAACTTATTTTCCAAGACTTGCCGACTTATCAGAACACAAATGCTTTAGTAATTTGCATATTCTTTTTAACGCCTGAAAGCTACTGTATCCTGTAGTAAAGACAAATTTTTCCTTCGAGGGCAGGAAAAAATTAAGTACTTTTGAAAATATTCCCAATTTGACACAAGACCCAGAAATATGATTCCAACTTTACCATTCTCTTTCGGTCAATATGACACCTAGGTCGGGATGCCACTGAGGTATCAAATATTTTTGGTTTGGTCTTCAAAAAGCACCACTTGTATCTTAATGGTGATAGTGGTCTTCCCCAGAAAAATAATGTTTCAGATTTGGTAGCACTAATTTAAGAGATACTGGGTTCACAAATAAAATGCTATAAATTGATACAGAAAAATTCATTAACCAGGCTTCCTAGAGTTTTGACAGAATCAACATGGAAAATAAAATTTCATTTCACAATGGAAATTTACAAGGGTACAAATTTATTACATGGTAGATCAATATTTAGTTGTCTAGAACAGTCTACTCAGCATTTTCCATGGTTTCAAAACACATTGATATGGAAAATTTTAAATTCCACTCTGCAGGAAAGGAAGGGATAAAAACAAGACCATCTACAGATGTGAATACTGTATATATGTTAATGAGAACAAAAAAACCTCTTTGAACATTACACAGCATCACAATTATAATAGTTACATTAGGTACATTTTTAATTCCAAGTAAGTTCCACCATCTAAGGGTACAATGCTGCACAGAAGCAACAGTGTATTGAGAAAGGTCCCAATATTCAGGACCGTGCCCGTAGTTAAAAATGACTCATTGCATTTCGTAAGATGATAAAAATTACAACTTAGCAACTGGCATCTGCAAATCTGTGAGTGGAGAACATAATAGAAGCCAAAACAATGTTGCATTACAGGAGAAAACATCAAAAAATTAAAATGGTAAGCTGTGTAGACAGGATTCAAAAATCCAGCTATGATTGTACAGCTATCGTGTCTGATGTTAAATGCATAAGATTTCAGAAAGAGCACATAGCTTCAAGGTTAATTCTGAATGACATTAACAATCACATCAACGTTACAAAGTCTCCCCAAAATCCCACATCCCCCCTCCAATTTAGTAGTCTTCTTTCACTTGATACAATGTCTCTTGCAGCACCATCACAACATTCTCTGACCTGAGCACAAGTGAGATGCCATATCAAAAAGAGCTTCCCTCTGGGGGCTGTGAGAGCTTCATGTTCTCTTTCATGGTCATGAGCCTCCTCAGCTCCTGAAGTAGAGTTTTGATCGTGTAATCCCTCTGCCATCTGGAGAGCACAGGAACATTTCTGCTGTCGACCTGGAATAGGAAATGGAGTATGAGCAACATTTCTAGTTTAGCCTCAAGTTCAAAATTGTAAATTTTAATACTTACCACACCATTAGAATTGTTAACACAGTTCATATTAATCCTATTCATAAACTTGACACTGGGAGCATCATCTGGATACCTCTGACCACATTCAATTTTTAAACTGTACATTCTGTTCTCATAAGGAGTCTGAAAGGGAGAAAAGAAATGATAAATAAACAGGGGAGCCATGAGACAGAAAATTGTGTGCTTAAGAGTATACTTGTTCTTTACCACCAGCTTAATGCCAATTTGTGGTAGTAACTGCTCCAGTCTCAGGAATTGTATGTTTTCCATGATCAAAAGAAATTGATGAAACAACGATTACCAATATTGACCAAAGATAGCAGCACTATCAGCATGTAGTTCATAGTTCACAGATTTAGCAAAATAGAAGCATGCAATTTTATTTTATTTTATTTTTTCCAGAAGAACTCTAATGCCAAGAAAAAAATATATGATTTTTTGGAAGACTGATCTGAGTTTGTAAAACAGTTAGTAAATAGTTCTTCTGATCCTCTATTACAACTACTTTTAGGCTGGGTACAGGACTTCAAATGATAGCAAGCAGAATTTTGTGAAGTGTTTTCCAAAGTATAGTTATGATGTAACTAGGAGAAAAAACCCACAAAAACCTCCATTACTGACTTAAGTTTTCATGTGAGAAAAAAATTAAGATAATGTCTGTATGTTATATATTCTGAGACAAGACAAGAGCATATGACGATGTGTCGCAACCACTGGGTAATGTAGGTTGGTGGTAAAGAATCAGTGTCACGTAATAAAGTAATACTAGTAATATACACAAAATAATCCATACACCCAATAAGTTTTCAGTGAAAAAGATTTGAAGCAACTCAATCCATCAACTACTGAAGCAACTTTGTGACTTACCCTAGGAGGTCCAATAATCATTCCTGTCCAATGAGTAAGAGTCATATCATCGTCATTCTCAAGACCCCAGCTGATGGTTCCATCACCAACACCTTTCTGACCCTGCTCCAGTTCTTCAAGCAGGCGGAAGTTCCGGGGAACCACTGAAAAAATAAACACAAATTATTTGAGTTGACTGTACATGAAACAAGACTAAACCAAGAAAAAATGTGATTGGTGGATTTAAAAAAGGAACACAACCAATTCTTTGAAAATAAGCGTTACTTTGTACAATATCTAGAATTATTTAGCTGATAAGGGAGGGTCTCCTAGCAGATGTGATCAAACAACTTATAGGCAGAATGTTGAGGTTAGAGTACAAATTCAAGGTTATGTCTTTGAGAAGAAAAGTTAACAGTACATCTACAGCAAGCCGAAAAAGAGAAACGCTTAAAGAAAATGGACAAAGGGATTCTGAATGAACAAAACAATGCTTATAAGTGTAAAATATTGACACGACGGTAGGCCAGAAGATAAAAACTGACAAAGGGTTTTCAGTCACCTGATATTTTCCAGATACATCATAGTCGGTAAAATCATATCCAATTAAATTAACAATAAGAAAGGTGGTATTTTAAACAAATCAAGAGTAGGAGTAATGACAAGTTCTAGGACAATTACAGACGAGACAAATGGCGGTTGGGCTGGCCGGTGTAGAAATTTAAGGCTAGACCACAAATCTTCATAAAGCCGTATTTTGTCATAGACAAAACAGATTCACAAGCATCGGAATTCGTTTAGACGAAACGTACAACAACAAGAAAAACGTACGGCACACAAAAATAGGCAAATAAAGAGGCAACTTACCCACACCGCTACTATTGTTCGCCATGTTGAAATTCTGTCAAATTCGGGAACAAGATTACACTTTGCTCGGAAGCTACTGACACCTGCTGGGAAATAATTCACTGCAGCGAAAGGAACGATGGCTAAAGGTACGACAAAATAAAGTGTCGTTTACACATCGATTAAGTACGGGTCAGCATAAATTATTGCCGAGAAGGTAGAGCGGGACTTGATTGCGCAGCGCAGCGACTTGCTTCGGGGTGGGAGCCCGGCCCGTTTGGTGTTTGAGGGAGGAGCCAAGTTCCAAGTCACACTCAAGTCCCCCCCGGGGGCCCACGGGTTGCAGTTGATGGTCGGGGCACGGGATCAATTAAATTGGGAAAATTTTCAAGGAGAAATCGATTATAGCTGCGAGTAAGAATGTGAACGAATTTTAATCTGAAATTAAAGAAAACGCAAGTGCCCGACCTGTGCACGGCCCGAAATCCCATTCAAGCAGTTTGCTTGCAAATGTAATTAATAATTAATAATCTATAGCTCTTTAAAGAGTAAAAACCGTGGAGAAATTGCGAAAATTTCGAAGAAAAAATAAAGCACTCGATGGTTCTCTCTAAGAAACATAATGGCTATTGAGATATTTTTCTTTTGCATTGTTGGCATTCTAACGGGAAACAGTATGTGATTGGTACATGCTGGACGGATACGTTTGCTGCCACCTTTCTGCTTGAATGGTGCGTTGTATTTTTTTTTAAACCACGTCTGAAAACCCAAGTTATTTGTTGAATACTGAGACAAGGGGGAAATCAAGCAGGTAAATTGTAAGCTATCGCAATCATTTAAGGAGTGATTCTATCTACTGTCTTTGTCAGGTAGAGACTCTTGAATATTTTCCTCCCTCCGCGCTTTGATAGCACTTGCATGGGGCCCAATAACCACAAAATTGTGTCAACAAACGTTCTGTTATTTACGTCAGTTGATTTAAAGTCTAGTTTGCCTTAGTAATCTTCGTTTAGTTGTTTAATTGTTGCTTAATTCATGGCGGTGACGCCAACTATTCACTGTAAAATTATCTTTTCTGGTCCATAGGTTCATGCTCCGCTGTTTGGCGTCAGTTAAAAAGGATCTTTCATTTGAGCTCTGCTCTATGATAAAAGCTATGAGTGTCTTTACCAACAAGGCAAATCCAATAACTGGTAAAATGGAGTGGGAGATGCATGACGATGACTATGACTTCACTCAGGAAATAGCTCGATCTTCATATGCAGACATGCTACATGACACCGAAAGGGTAGGTGAATGTTTTGTGCACATTTCTCTTAACATATAATAACAAACTTCAGCTTACTTGTTCTATTTCACCGTTTTTTAGAATGTGAAATACCAAATTGCCCTTGAATCTGCTATCAAGATTATGCATGCCAGTGGAAAACCAGCCCATGTCTTGGACATTGGTACAGGAACAGGTTTGCTTGCAATGATGGCAGCAAGAGCTGGAGCTGATACAATCATTGCATGTGAGGTGAGAGCCTCAGCCCTTTCATGGACTAGTATATTTATAATATCCAGTTTGTTTGTTGTTGTTGTTTTCCTGTTTTTGCCTCAATTTTGTTCTCATAATATTACTAATATTATTATCATTATCAGGCCTTTGAACCTGTGGGGAAATGTGCAGAGGAAGTCATAAAATTAAATGGATTTTCTGACCGCATCAAAGTTATTTCCAAGAGATCAACTGCCTTGACTGTTGGTCAAGGTTGTGATTTGCCACACAGGGCCAACATACTTGTTACTGAAGTTTTCGACACAGAACTAATTGGGGAAGGGGCATATGCTACTTTCAGCCATGCTCACAAAGAACTTCTTGAAGTAAGTCTTTAAATATTGAATTAGTTCAGGAACCATTCATAGAATATTCTTTCAATATATTTGCATTCCAAAAGCATCTTTCCAGTAATTTCATTTTTATTTGCATTTACTGAATTAGATTTTATTATATTTGGTTTTGTTGCAGAAAGATTGTATTGTTGTACCATCTTCGGCTACTGTGTATGCTCAGGTTGTAGAGAGTGATTTGGTCTGGAGATGGAACAGCTTGAGACCACTTCAAGACAAGAAAGACATTTTGGTTGAGACTCCTACAGATATATTAAGTTGTGCAGGTGCTGCAGCTGTTCATGACATTCAGTTGAGTCAATTATCTCCAGATCTGTTCACAACTATTTTATCTCCAGAGCCTGTTTTTAGGTGTGTTGGACTCAACTTACTATCACTTCAAAATGTATATCTAATTATCCATATGAACTTTAAGGATCTTTAACTAAAGTCAAATGATTCCTTTATAGATTTGACTACTCAGGACGGAGCCCTATTGTGAAAGAAAGATCGACAGTACAGGTTCTCAAAGCTGTAAATAATGGCTTTGCCCAAGCAGTTTTTATGTGGTGGGACCTTGTCATGGACACCAAAGGCGAGGTAAAAATTGTATTCATTGTCTTTTATTTTAAATGTTATGATAAATGTTTACAATGTTAATGTTGATGTAGGTAATCCTTAGCTGTGCTCCTTTCTGGGCACATCCATCAAAGCCTAAGCACCCAAATGAAATTCCTTGGAGAGATCATTGGATGCAGGCTGTATATTATTTGCCATCTCCAGTACCAGTGAAACAAGGGCAAGAGCTGACACTTATCAGTTCACATGATGAATATTCTTTGTGGTTTAATTTGGGCTTGGACCTGAAGTAAGTGGCCATCACAGTATCTATCCTTTTTAGCATTGGTATTGTTCTATTGATGACCTATCTTTAATTTTTTTAACTGGCACAGATTAAAAGACAAGGATTACATGCGCCCAGTTTGTATTTGTAGTGCTCATGCTTCTCTAAGTCGCACCAGAATTGGACAGATCAATGATGAACAGCGCACTCTGAAATATTTGAAAGCATTAAAATCTGTTGTTGATGTGGAAAGTATTTGTTTGAGTATTGGTGACTCTTGCTTAATAGCCCTAGCTGCTGCAAGACTAGGAGCCAAAAAAGTATGACTCCATTTTATTATCTATCAAATTAACAGTTCCATTTGCAGCAACTTATTTCTAGGACTCTATATATTTCTACCTGCACAATAATTTCTGCTTTTAGGTTTATTGTATTGAAAGCTGTTCTCTAATGAAACGAATTCTAGAAAATTATGTTAAGCATAATAAGTTAGATAGCAAAGTTGTTGTTCTGGATGAGTCTTCTATTGCAAAAGATGATTTAAAGGAAACTTTAACTGAAAAAGTATGTTTATGCCCGAGTTATTTGAAAAACCATCTGTTTAATTAGATAGATAGTGATGATCCCATGTATAACAAATTTCTATTTTTTTTTCAAGGTTAATTTAATTTTGAGCGAACCATATCACATGTCTAGCATTCTTCCCTGGGAAAACTTACATTTTTGGTTCAAGAAAACTGAAATGAAGGACTTAATTAGCAATCACTGTGTAACATTACCTTCGAAGGGCAAATTATTTGGAATGGCTGTTGAATTCAAAGACCTATGGAAAATTAGAGCTCCTCTTAAAAATGTGCAAGGTTTTGAAATGAAATGCTTTGATGAACTAGTTGATGTAAGTAAATGTTTGACTCTCAATAGTGTCTGATTGAAATGAAATGTGAACTCAGAAGTTTATCTATCTTTTTGTTAAGGTATCAATCAACCGAGTGGACTGCAAGTGGGAAGCTCAACCTCTCTGGGAATATCCATGCACTGCCTTATCAAAGCCCACTCAACTGTTGGAACTTGACCTAAATTCTAACATACCAGAAAACAAAATCGAATGTTCCGGATCAATGGACATTTCAGGGTAAGTTTGCTTTGTATTGCACAAATTGCATTTCAAGTTGTTTTATTGGTCATTTCTTTAGAACAGTCTTGACAAAAATTCTTATTACATTTCTGATAGATTGGGTGCTTGCAATGGCATAGCATTGTGGATGGATTGGGTGCTGGACCGAAAAGAAGAGTGTATTGTGTCTACTGGTCCGACAGCTGAAGTACAGATTGATCATCAAGTCAGCTGGGATATGCACTCTCGTCAAGGTGTTTATCTTTTTGTAGAAGCCATCCCTCAGGTGGCTAGTTTCACTTTCTCTACTGTCTTTTGCCCACAAAATGGGAGCATTTCTTTTGACTTCAAACCAAAAAATTTAAAAGGAGTGCAACCAGCTTAGTCAAATCCACCCTTGGTTGTCAACTTGAAAGAATAAATTAAATTTTTCTGATTTGGATATTATTTTTGTCACCCTTTTGATGCTTCTTTACTGGCTAACAGAATCCAGCAAAGATGAGTGATACTTGGGCTGGCCCAAAGTGATAAAGTCCAAACCTTGTTCCGCCTCTAGCTTCATTATGATGGGTAGGGGATCAACAATATTCTATAATGGAAAAGTAACATTACTGGCAAGGTAAGAGATAAATGACAATTGATGTGTGGTATCAGAAACAAAAGTGTTACCTCTTTATGTTTGAAGGAAGATAGAGGTGTCCCTGGCATTTGTTCGCAACGCAAGCAGTAAAAATTGTCTCTAGAATCTTGGATTCTTTTCCATTCCATTGTAACAGCAAGCTTTTCTTCCGCAAGGCGATCTTCTCGCTCTTTTAAATGAAGCAGACGCTGAGCTAGATCGGTTGCATGCTCTGACCGCTCTCTCTCTAGTCTGCGAGCTTCATTTAAAGCACTTGTTCCCTCTTCTCTATAGGCTTTAGCTCTCTGTAAGATAAAAGGTATGAGGAAACAAGTTTTAGAGTTCAATGCATCTGACAAACTACCACAGTTTGATCATAAAATGTTATTAATTACCGCCAATTCTTCATTAACTGTCTGTTCTCTTATCTGCAGCTCTTGCCTAAGGGTTTGAAGGTGCATGTGCTCTGCATTATAACTTATTTTCAGGGCCATTACTTCCTCTCTCTCCTTTTGAACATCTTTACCAGCTTCCTGAGCAGCTTCAAGAGTTGATCGTGCTTCAGCAACCATCTGTGAGGCAAAGGCATTCTAAATTTTTACCATCTCAGATACCATTGTTTTATAATATGATTTTGGATTACCTGCTCTGCTTGTTGTGAATTTCGATTGGCGTGTGTGCTCTGAATGTTCAATCTAGTTTCTAAGCGAGCAACATCAGCAGCAAGAGCTAGCTTTCTTTCTCCCAACTCTGACAGTTCCATATGTGCTTCCAACTGTAGTTTCTGCAAGGAGAATATTCGGAACACTGTATTTCATGTTTGATATAAGTGAGGAAATCCAGACATGGGAAGCTTAATTTTTAACTTTAACTCTTTATTATGCATTTCCAAACATTATCCACTTATTCAAATCATCCAGGTTGCTTCAAAATCTTTTTTGCAAAACTTACCTCTAAGAGCTGCTTTTCTTCTTTTAGATGTTCAATAGCTCCTAATTTTTCCTTCTCCCATTTCTTTTCTCTATCCTCAAATCTTTTTTTTTCTTCATTAAATTCTTGCTGCCGTCTCAGTACATGAGATTCCAGATCACGGCTCAGAGTTGAAATACAAGCTCTTTCTGCTTCAAGAGCAACAGTCTGCTTTTCGAGTGCCTCTTTGAGACCTGCAGAAAAATTATGAGAAATAACAGATGTCTCCCTCATTTTTTATAAAGAAATTTACATTTCCTACCTATGAGATGCATTTCTTGTTTCATTAGTGACTCCTTTTTCTCTAATAACTGAGTTTGGTCCTCCCTTTTCATCTGTAGCTTTATTTCTAAAATAGTGGCAGAACTTTCCTCAATATTTTTTACAGCCTTTTCAAGTAACCTGATAAAAAAAAAAAAAAAAAAAAGAGATTGACGACAACAACAACAACAACAACAACAAAAAAGCAACAATTTCTTTTCTTTTATCAGTCAGAAAAGGGTTTCCCCTTAGTTCCATTGATGATCCAACCTTGCATTGCAGCCAGCCTCCTTAATAGCTTCTAATTCAGCAGCCTGTAAATTTTTCCAGTGTTCCACTGCTGATGTTTGCTCTGACCTTAACATTTCTACAGCCTGCTGATGAAATTCACCTAAACGTTGTAAATCTGCAAGCCATTCTGCATGTAATTTTGCCATACGTTGGGCTTGCTGTTTGGATATTTCTTCATGTTCATCCTTGATATGAAATAATTGAAAAAATTTACTCATCTATCATGTGATAATGACTAGAAAAATTTTTCCTACCTTCAAGCGAGTTATTCTTATTGCAGTCTCTTGCCTTGTTGCTTCCATCTCAGACAAATGGCGTTTTTCTTGCTTTGTCATTGTATCTTCTTGAACATCAAGTTGTTTTCTAATTGAGAGATGCACAAATTTTTCATTTTGTTTAATTTTATGAAAACAATTATTTTAACAATTACAGAAACATAGAATACACAAAAGTTTACCTAAAAAATATTTCCATATCTGAGAGTTGATCACTATATCTCTGCTTTTCACTCTCTAGGAGTGTTCTCATATCTTGGTTTTCCCTCTCAAGCCTGTAAACTTGACCCTACAGTAAAGTCACATTTTTAGTTACTAACACAAAATAATAATATTTTTTTTTAAAAAAAATTACACTTTTGGTTTATTGGTTAATTTTTAACATTTTATTGTTGTTACTGGTTACTGTACCTTCAACTCTGATATAATTTCTTGATCATTTTCATCTTCCTTTTTTGGAGTTTTCATTATAAAAAGTGAATCGTTGTTTCCAGTAAAGTTGTCTGCTGTGCTCCATAATGCTGCTGGCAATGTAATTGGGGCAATAGCTGGAGGCTGCACCATCAAGGCCTGTCAAGAAAAAGTTGCTTGTGTAATGATTAACACTAAAAGATTGTACAAAGAAAATTAAGATCTGCCATACCTGAATGTGAGCTTGTATTTGTTCTTGCTGTCTTATCATTTGCTGCTGCCGTTGCACTTGTCTTTGAACTAATGCACCTAACTGCTGTTCATGCTGTGCCAATAAGGCAGCTTGCTGAGCCTGCAGCTGAAGAAGGTTATCCTCTTGCCTCTTCAATGCCAGTGCAGACAGTAAACTTTTTTGCTGCTGTGCTGCAGCTTCTCCAGCCAGAGTTTCTAAGTCAGCCAGACCAGCCAAGATGTCAGCATCACTTTTAGGTAATTGTTTTTCCTCTATTACTAAAGAGTGCCCTTAAAAATTAGAAGATTGTTTTAAAAACCAAAAAAAGAAAGAGGTGACTTCTAGAAAAAAAAAATAGGGAAATACAAGGAGATACCTGAATTATGCACATTATCTGCAGCATTGGGTGTTTGAGTCGAGGATGCTGCAAGAACAGTTGCACTCTCAAGCCATTGGGGGACTGGATCTGGAAGTACTACATCATCATTTTACCATTCCTAATCTTAAATTTATCTTAACTATACTCTATAATTACCAGAGTTTAAAACTTGGCCAGATATGCCTGATTTTCTTAACTGTGACTCATCTTCTTTCTTAGCAGGCCCTGTATCTGAGGATATTGTTGGTTCTGATGGTTCTCCTCTGAAACAATTAAAATATTGTGCAATGATAACATTTTTAATTTTCCACCGCATTGCTTGAAGTGATTACCTAGATGATGAAAACAGTCCAAGTGGGTCAACTAAATCTCCTCCCCTCCGCTGGGTGCTGCGACGTGGTTCACGACTAGCAGAGGGTGTATATGAGTTTTTTGCACTGTCCTTTTCAAACCCTTTGTTTGTAAATGATTCTATTTGAGGATTTGGTTTACTATCTGCAACCGTAAATATGCTATGTCTAAAGCTATCTTGTATTTGCAATTTTAATTTGAAAGATCACAGAGAGATACAAACCAAAATCAGAAATAAAAGTGCTCAAAATGGAACTGGATTTTTTGGTCTCATTGACACTTTTTCTGGCTGGTATATTTCTGGTGAGGAAATCATCTGCTGCTGCAAATCCTGTAGTCTTTTTGGAAACATCAATTGTTTTGGGGACATCCTTTGTTTCTTGTGACACTAAAATGTTGTCTTCTTGACTATTTCTTTTTGTTAAAGGACGAGAATTTGGAACCTTGGACAGTGCAAAATTTTCATATTTGCTAGTATGGCTTTCAATCTTTTTATCTATAACATCTGATTCTGCTTTGAGCCCCAACCAATCGCCTGGGTCTTCATTTTTGATCACAGATCTTGGTGGAGTTGCAGCACTCCTAGGGCTGTGCGCCTGCATAGATGGAATATAGTAAGAAAAAAATAATATATAAATTTATACTGTCTTTTTAGTGTAACATTCACCTCTTGCTCATCAATGCCAAAGATATCAGCAATGCGTTTACTCTTTGAATCATGCTTAGAAAGGTCAGTGATTGGTTCCTTCCCTGACAGCTTTTTAGGTAGACTTTTGACAGGTGTGTTTTCACCACTTGATGACAGAAGATCACGAAGAGGATCCTCCTCATCAAAATCTATGAAGTGTAAATTAAAATGTAAGTTCAGATATTGTCTTAATTTTCTACACTGCAAATATTTGTGTGAAAAGATGAAAACCTACCCAATTCACTCTTAGAAATTTTTAGGGAAGACGGATTGAGTTTCTTAAGAGATGAGCTGAAAAGTTCTCGATCCAAGTCATCCATTTTCTCAGTGTGCAATTTAATACCACAACCCAAGGCCCTTTCAAGAGTAATTCATAATTGTTCAAACAAGAAAGTTGTTTGACTGGAGGCAATTAACAGATAGGACAGAACACACTGTTAAATGTTCATCATTACAGGTGCACTACTTGTCACGTAAGATATTTCTAAGATTACATATCTTGGTTAAATTAACTTGTCATCCCCATAACAGTTTTTCTCGATTTTTTTCAATTAGAAAACAAGTTTCATGGCTTCAAACATTGATTTTTAGCTTTTGGAGAGGACAAAAGTATACCAAATAATACTGGAATTCTTCCATCACACATTTTGTTACGGTATCTCAAGAAATATACCGTATTCCCTTTTTTTTCCTTATATGATTGATTTGTTGAACTTGTGAGAGTGACTTTTTGGTTTTGGAAATCAGGATCAGAACAGATGTAAACAAATTTTGTTTTGCTATGTTTTGTTTTGTTTTGTTTGTTATGAAAACAACAAATATCTGACAGTCGGTAAACCATGGCTGACAACATCAACATAACCGGCAGGAGTTTTTAAATAAAGTTGAAAGTTGTCGTGCCTCCAATATTTTGATTGTATGTCAGTTTTCCTCAAAGTTTCAATTTTGACACGAATTAAAAATGTTTTTATTCCAATTTTGAAATAAAGGGCAATGAAGGGTGGGCGAGTGTCTCTATGAGAAATTTCGAATTTAGTAATAAAAAAAAGTATGGCAAATACATTAGCCAGCGTAGCATAACAAACCGGAACGTCTCGTCGTGGCCCCAGACCCACACTCGAACCAACATGGGGCTGGCCCCAAACGTGGTGGTGGGGGGTAAAGTATATTCTCCTCTACGCTTATGAAAAATTAAACGAACGCGGAATGGTGGACCGTGGATCCAGGTGGATCACATCACAACAACTCGTTTACTTCTTGTTTACTTGGATTATTTTCCCAGTTTTCCTGTTGGAGTTAGGACTTTGCTGTCTGAAATGTAACAACCTGCAAGCGACGTGATTATACGTTGGAATTAAATTCAGAGTTGTGATAAACCATTTTTTAATTTAAAATAATTCCTACGTGATGAAATCAAAGTGATAAAGTTAGCCGAGTTACTTTCCTCTTTAAAGAAAGTATCACAAGTCCTCTAGATGAATTAGCGAAATGTTCTAAATTAATATTATGCTCAACTACATAATATATTTTCTCCCAACAAAACAAACAGAGGGTAACATTTCAGGAAACCATGAACACAGGTACTGTTTTTTTTTATTGACAACCGAAGATAATATTTTAGAGCCTGAAATCATTGTGAACTCAGTATGTGCAAAACGTAAATGAGAAATATTTGCAGGTAAACATAAAATGTGCCTTCAAAGTTTGTGTCGAAGCAGTGGGCGTCATTATTGAAAGTCATGTATGGTGGCATTGATAATAACTCCACAATGAAAATCTTATACTAGTCGTTGACTACTAGAATATTAATTCACTGTGCTCATAAATTCTACAATATAACTTTACTAATACTTTGTAATCTAACTCAAGGGAACACTTTTGCATTCTAGTCTTTGAACGATACAGGGCTTGCTACTAAACTTGCTTTGCCTCGTTGCTTTTGCTCTGCCCAAGTGACGGAGACAGGTCAAAAATATAAAAATATATAAATTGGTGATAGATCATCAATTTGACGTCAAATGATTCTTTTAATTTTTACGACAATTTAGTCACTCTGACATTTTTTCCTGTAAGTTTTAAGTTGGCAGGTGTCATTTGGCTTACTGGCTCGTCATAGTTCCATTTGTAATTGAAAAATAATGAAATTTTATGATGCCTGATTATATAGTAGTTTTTGAAAAGATTGAGGTATCTCCTTGATCGAATGTTACAAACATAAACACAATCAATTTCGCAGGTCGTCTAGGACATAGTGGCTGTGTTTTTCTGGTTCAATCAGTTTTAGTCTAAACTATAAAGTCTTCCAAAATAAAAAAAAAATGAAAAAATAAACACTTTAAAAACTCAGAAAAATTGTAATTTCACATGATCCTTAATCGGCAAACCCAAGGAATTTGGAACTCTTGATTGTACTGATCCAGGGCACTTACATAATGGGGCACTATAATGGAAACTTACGCTTGTCTTGGTGTCTTTATCACGATAATTTCAGCGTATGGTATGCCATAAAACGAAATATTTACACTTTTTCAAGACCCTCGTGGGAATTCAGCCCAATAAATTGGTTATTCTGGGTTCAATGTGACATGACTGCCATGCATGGCGCCTTAGGGGAAGAATGGGTAGGCAACCCGCACAGCAGCATACCATACTTTTAAAATGATATTTGCGGTAAAACTATTTGACCTACAAAGAATATTATAAAGTTGAAAGTGACAATAATTTGTTCCTTTATCGTTTCATAAAAGTTTCAGAACCGCATTCTTTGTCATATCTGAGTTTCATCGAAAAGTCACTTTCGGGCTTTCAAGTCGAGGGAAGGATGTGCTCTGGGCATAGGGGTGACGAGGTGGCGGAACAGAAAACTGTTTTTGACAACCATTGGGTGCACATATGTGCAATTAAGTTTATTTGATAGGATTTTTGAATTGAAAAATGTTGTTGTTGAACTATTTTTGTGTCAGAACTATAGTTTGGGCGTAAATTGCCTGCAAACCCGAGAAAAGGGTGTCCTCGGGTGGGTGTTTTTATGAGTTTTCTTGGCCAATTTTGATGTTTTTGGGGTCAAATTTGGTGAATCATCATATTACAACAACCTCCACCGACGCCCATTAAAAAATCAATAATTTTTCAAAAATTGCAAAAAATTGCAAATTTGTTGGAAACTGTGGAAAGTTAAGGAAAATCAAATGTATGACATGATTGGTGAGCTGATTTCTCATGGTGATTAGTTCGAGACATTTTTAACGTTATGCCGTATTTTTCACGCAATTAACGAATATAGTTTTACGAATGACTGTGGCTTTGGTGCACTTGGCGGTTCTGCTGATGTGCTCAGGAATAACCCACATAGCTTCTAAAATTTAAAGAGGAAATTTACCTTAAAGTATTCTCCCAATTGCAGTCTTTTTACATTTATTAGAAACAAATTTTTAGTCGATTCCGCATTTGCGTTCATTAATAATGAGTGGTATAAAGAACGCTGGAATAGGTTATGTGCCCCATGGTCAGGGCAAGTGTTCCACCGGTCTCACCCTAAACATGGTTTGTGAAGAGCCTCATTTGAGAACAAGATGTTCCAATATTGCGATAACCGTAATTAATACTTTTCCGATGCGTATTAACATACTATCGTCAAATTTGTACCATAATTATTTCCTCTGTCTGCTGTGAAGAATTTGTTTGTTTTACAGTCGTCCCACGATTACTTTACCGTTCGGCTTTTCACCGACGAGGCTTCTGATTGGCCTAGAAGGCGTTCGGGCCCGTCACGTGACCTTTTCCGAACGGTAAAGTAATAGTGGGCCGACTATATTTCTCATACATGTGGCGGACTATACCCAATTTCGGTGGTGGGGGAAGTTGGGTCCAGACCGTAGAGGTTTCGAGTGTGGGTCTGGGGCCGCGACGAGGCGTTCCCGGAACGTACATGGCGCACATGCCGGACCACATGTGTCAGCTTCTAGATTGAATTTCGACGGCACGAAGTATATTTTCTGGTCTCCCTAAGTTTCTAAACGTTTCTCTATGAATCAAAGATGTATTTTCATCTCTTCCGTTAAATATTCCCGCAAATGTTAAAGAGAATCGTCATTGTCGCTGTGTTATCCTTGTGGGTGGTGAGGTTATATTTTTTAAAGCCGAGTAACATAGTGTGAAGAATTCAAGACATTGAAAATGCCTACTGGAAGTCGTGTTTTTCTGCAAAATAGAGCCTTGGGCTATGTGAGCAACCATATTCCTCTTGTTGTTCGATACATCCAGAGACGGAAGGAGAACTTAATAGTGACCTGCACTGGAAGAGCATTTCACACTTATGGATGCTCTCACTTTTCTCTACTCAGTGTTTGCTCGAAACACCCATCCGAAATAACATGTTTGGGAGCCGATACCTACCATGTCTACACTTCTTCCGAAAATGTCATCTATGCTTGGCGCAGAGGAGCAGAGCTAGCTCACACATATAATGGACATGAACATCCTGTGCACATTCTGCTTCCCTTTGGTCCGCATCTTGTATCTGTGGACGAATCCAGCAACTTAAAGGTCTGGGATGTTAAGGCCGAATCATTGTACCTAGAACTCTCATTTGACAGCAAAGTTTTTAGCATCACCACTGCCTTGCATCCCAGTACATATATCAACAAAATTCTTTTAGGGAGCCAAAAGGGCACATTACAATTGTGGAATATTCGTACCTCGAAATTAGTCTATACATTTTCTGGTTGGAATTCTGCTGTGACAGCCTTAGAACAGGCTCCTGCTATTGATGTTGTTGGAATTGGCTTGGCAAATGGTCAAATCAAATTGCACAACCTGAAATTTGATGAGACTATCATGGAATTTTCTCAAGATTGGGGCTTAGTAACGAGCCTGTCTTTCCGAACTGATGGTAACCCAATTATGGCTTCAGGTAGTTTATCAGGCCATGTTGTGTTTTGGAATCTTGAAGAAAGAAAAGTTGTCTCACAGCTGCGTGCCCATAGTGGAGGAGTGTCAGGCCTCCAATGTCTGGCCAATGAACCTTTGATGGTCACATCATCAGCAGACAACAGTGTAAAACTTTGGATATTTGATTTACCGGATGGTGGAGCTCGTCTGCTTCGAATTAGGGAAGGTCACACTGCACCTCCGTCTTGTATAAGATTTCATGGCAGCAATGGCCATAATATTTTAAGTGCTGGTGGTGATTCTTCTCTCCGAATTTTTTCTACAAAAACTGAAACTTTTAATAAGAGCTTAGGAAGAGCTTCTTATAACCGAAAACTATCAAAGACAAAAGGAGCTTCAAGTGATCCTTGCAAAATGCCACCGATAGTAGACTTCACATGTGAAACTACTCGGGAAAAAGAGTGGGATAATATTGCTGCAATCCACTCAGGACTTCATGTTGTTACGACATGGTCATATGACAAGGTGAAAATGGGCAGCCTTAAATTAGTACCAGACAGGTTAAAGAAGAAACCCAATGAGAGTAAAAACAAAGCACCAAAAGTTACTGCTACATGTTTGTGCTTGACTCAGTGTGGTAATTTTGTTGTTATCGGGTACAGTTCAGGTCACGTTGATCGTTTCAATATTCAGTCAGGTATTCATCGTGCTACCTATGGTAATCCAGTTGCTCACAATGGGGCTGTTCGTGGAGTTGCCACAGATGGTCTTAACCAGATAGTTGTGAGTGGTGGAAGTGATACCTTTATCAAATTTTGGAATTTCAAAGAAGCAGGTAAAATCTCTTACTTTTTCTGAAGCTTCTTTTTTTCCAACTTTCTGTAGTAATGAGTCACGTGATTTTGTTCTTCCAGGTAAATCATTGCTGTCAAAGATACATGTGGATGAATGTGTAGCGTTTTTCCATGCTCATCATGAAAGTGCCATGTTAGCTGTTGCACTAGAAGACTTCTCTATTGTAATTGTGGATATAGATACAAGAAACATTGTCAGAAAATTTTCTGGTCACACAGCTCAGTTAACAGATGCAGCATATACTCCTGACTCAAGATGGCTTGTAACATCTGCAATGGATTGTACTGTCAGGCTTTGGGATATACCTTCCTCCCAACTCATTGATATCTTCCAGGTACTTTATCTCAAAGGGAGACTGGTGTTGTGATCAATGATAATTTTCTAGTGTGTTACATCCATTTAATTTTTTCAATTTTGATTGTGTCAGGTGGATGCTGCTTGTACATCTTTAAGTTTTTCACCTACTGGTGAATTTTTGGCCACGACCCATGTTGATCAACTTGGAGTCTATCTGTGGTCAAATCGGACTCTGTTTTCCCATATATCTCTTCGTCCACTTTCCTCTTCGTTGGATGCAATTTCAGTTGTATGCCCTAAATTTTTAATTTTCAGAACTTTTAAATATCTTTCTTGCTGTAACTGTTTACTATTTCCTGAACTCTTTAAATTATGCAGATGGACTTACCAGCCTCAGCCACTGATGAACTTCAAGCTACCCATCAGGGAGAGGAGCTGCCTCTGGATGATGTTGAACCTGAGTTCACTTCTCCAGATCAATTGGCTGATGACCTCATTACTCTTTCATTAGTTGCAAATTCAAGGTACGAACTACACTATCAATTACTTTTACCCCTTTTGGAAACTTTGTTTTGATTCTTTTATCTACTTTCATTTTTATAGATGGCAGAATTTACTTAATATTGATCTTGTAAAGAAGAGGAATAAACCTAAGGAGGCTCCAAAGGCACCAAAAGCAGCCCCTTTCTTTTTGCCTACTTTGCCGACTCTGAGAGATTTTGAGTTCGACCTGTCAGGGGCCATCAGCCAAGGAGAGGGTGGTTCCAAAATTTTAGACCTAAGTGCAATGCAATCCCTTTCAGCATTTGGAAAATCCCTCAACCAATGCAGTGACAAGGACTATTCCTCAGCCTTTTCCAAGTTGAAAGAAATGGGTCCAGCTGCAATTGATATTGAAATCAACCAGTTAGCTCCAGAAGGTGGAGGTTCATTTGAACTTTTACTCAAGTTCATGAAAATGATCAACTCTATTCTGCAATCACATAAGGACTTTGAAATTGCCCAAGCATATCTTGGACTCTTTTTAAAAGTTCATGGTGATACAATATCTCAAAGAAATGAACTGAAATCCTTCATCAGTGAAATAATATCTAGCCAGCATAGTGGGTGGTCGAATCTTCAGAACAAATTACAGTACAATTTATGTGTCGTCCATGCATTGAAAAATGTCTCAAATTAAATCTGGTGTTGAAAATATTTTTACTATTGATAAAATAAAATTTGTTTCCTGTTTCCACTAGCTGCTGCTGTTTTGCCTCATGTCTGCAGTTACATTACATTTTAAATGCATTTCTACCCCTCTATTTATCTTATTAAGTTGGTGACATGTGTATTTGTCATTGAGCAGTCTTCGGTCTTCCCTGTCTCTAGACCTGCTGGACGGGGGGTGTCCAGCAGCTTCGCTGCCGCTAGGGACTCAGCAACTTTCGGCTCGGGGGATGCCAAACAGGCCGCAAAGTTCTGAACGAGGACAAGCCGGACAAGCCGGACAAGCACAACTTCAGTGTGATTGCTGTTGTAGCGAGCCCTGCTCGCCATGCTTTTCTAGCCTTGCTGTACGAGGGAAGTGATTGTTGACACCGTGGAGCACCGCCAACAACGGGAGTGAAGGAGAGCATGCTGGGGGTGGGGTGCGGGGGACTGATGGGTGAGAGAGTGCGCAAGACAAAGACGGGTATCGTGGTAAACCGCTCGGCCCCACCAGAGCGAAGGAGATAACCGATTTTCTCCCGCCGCAGACGCGTCGCGCGGAGCGAATGGAGGGGGGCCTCTCTCGCCCGCTCCGCTCTCTCTGCAGAGGCAGCGGGAGTTCAGTTCAGTTCCGCCGAGAGCCCGGGGCGCTCGCAGCGCTCTCTGCTCCGCCTCTTCTTCTGTCGCCACCGAGCTGAGAGACTACGGCGGCTTGTTCACACTCGGCGAGAGGGTGTTTTGGGGCCGCGTTTTGAACCGCGGGGCGGGCTACGGGTGACAAGGATGCCGACGACGTGACGGCCCTGATGCGCTCGGCGCCCGTGACGAGACGCGTGGTCGCGTGTCGCGTGTGAACGCACGCCTTTCCCGTGAGAGGACGACGAGCACAGCGGGAAGATGGCGGAGCGCGGGGTGGCAGGCCGTCAGCTGCCTCTCGCCCTGGTGGGCCAGGCCCAGATCCATGGCCCGGGCCTGGTCGCGGGGCCCAAGCCCGTGCCCATGAAGTTATTCGCCACCTGGGAAGTGGACCGCACACCTCCGAACTGCATTCCCAGGTGAGTGCGCGGCTGGCGCGGCCCGCCGGCGGGGCGGGGGCTCGCCAGGGGCGGGGCAACCCTTGTAAACAAAGCGACCATAACCTTATCTGGTCACCCCGCCGTGTTGTCATCTGCTGGAACCTTCGGCTCTGCGGCAAGATGCGGCGCGCGCAGTCCTGTCAAACTTTCCCTTTTGGGACGGCAAGGCACGGCGCCGCACACCGCGCGCCGCGGTGTCACCATCCAGGCGCCTGGCGCTACGGCCTTTGTGTCGTCCTGGTTCAGTGGGAGTCGCCCCTCCTTTGTCTTCTGCTGGGGGATTTGTCATTGGCGGAAACTAGCAGAATGCATCAGATGTTGCTTCCACATTACTGTGACTATTATGTCGGAATGTGTTGTTTGGTTTTTGTTGTCTTGTTACAACTTTTACTAAAAAAAAATATTTTGTATTCAAATATTTGTTATGCCTCTTGTTAACACGTTCAATGCGGCTGTATATTGTGGGGGTTGGACAAACCACCACCAAAGTGCGTTTAACATTGTGGTCCCATTGCACTGAACGTGTTAACCTTAAGCTTGGGAACTATTGAACCACATTTAATTCTTTGTTACAATTATTTGGTTTTGACTGACATCATTTTTAAGTATGAATTTCAAATTTTGTAAAATGAAACCATTTAATTTCTCATGTACAGATTTCATTTTATAACAATCATAGCTTGTTCCTGAGTTTTTGTATGGTGATCATATATTTTATTCAACAGCAAATGCTAAAATATTTGACAGTTCTTCATAAAGAGATAGCTTTTGCCACTTATGAGGAGACCTTTGGCTTTTAACTTCAGCTCTTATGTGGTTTTGGTGGTGTTTAGCTGAGTGTAGCAAAGCTTTGAAACTTCATTCAGATTGGCTGCCTTGCAACATCTGTAAGATTACCCCCAATAAATCAAAGCATAGCTAGAGACCTATCCAGAAACGTAAGTGTAATAATAAGGAAGTAATAAATTAAATTTTTTAAGGCTTAATCATACAACATGACGTGATATATATTTTATGAGGGGTATCAAAGAATAAATTTCTTGGTATATGCTTTGCTTTACTTACATATTCTCTTGGTGAGGCCACAGGCCCCCTAGGTTTAATCCACCCATTGCACCATGTGTCAGCTCTGTTGTGACAGAGGCTCGGGCCAGTGGTAGGTGCGGGCCGGGCTATGGGAATGGTATGGAGGGCAAAGAGATTGTCCGGCCCGTTATCCGCGCCAGCCCCGGGGGCACACTTTGTCGATGGGGCCTATCTCCCCCACAGTCTCTCTCACTGCCTCGCGGCTGCAGCGGTTGCAGCGGCTAGCGTGCCGTGCTCCTCACCTGTTAGTGCTTTTATTTGTTTCTATTATTCTCCGGTACACTACCCCGCCGGCAGCCGGTTCGCTCGGTCGGTCGCGACCCGCGCGGCAGCGTGGCGTGCGTGGCTCGAAATGGATTTAAATGTATGCGGGGGGTGGGGTGGGGGCGTTACTCACACGCGGAAGGTACAGACGAGGGAATGACACGAATGAGCCAGCGTGCATCACTCACGCTCGATCAAAACGAAATAAGTCCTCACAACACTGTTATATGACCTCTGAAATTCGTTTGTTCGTTTCTGCCCTCTGTTTTTGTTTTGAAGGTGAAGGTGGTGGGACCCCTGCACAACAGTGAGTGCAGGGGTTGAGGCTGCGGTGGCGGGCGACTCCTTCGATCGACGCGGCAGTCTTTTCCATAAAACCATCAATCATTGGGCGGATTGACAGACCCGATAAACACACTCAAAGCCCTCCCCCCGCACCCCCACTAGCCCTAGTGCCGCCCCTGGCAGCCGACGGCGCGGCCCGGCGGGGCCCCGGCGCCACGGCGAGCGACACGACCGACGAGCGCTTATTGTCAAGCCAAATGAAAAACCCCTCTACCTTCACACCACCAACTGTGTTTGGCGCGCACTGAAGAAAAAAAAAGAAATGGAAGGAAAGAAAGCCGACCATCAACGACATTGTCTTTTCAGCAGCGGTGGGGAAGTCCCACACCAGTCAATTGGACTTTCTTCAGGACCTCTGATTGACTGCCAATCATCGCGATTGTCTCTTTGTCGCCCGTCGAGGTGGGGCGGCGATGTCGAGCGTATCATTAACGCCTAGTGCAGCCTGTGGTCTGTTGTGTGGTGTGGTGCGGCGTCGTGTGTGTGTTCCGGCCAAACATTGCACGGCCACGCAGATACCCAGAGCTCAGTGACTGTGAGCTGCTGTATACATATACGTATACAGGGGACTCCGGGACTACGCCGCAGGCAGCACCGAGCGCCGTCTAATCCACTCTCAGTGACTCTGTATGGCGTTATCGTACAGCGGCGGCACGCGTCCGTCACGGTTAGAACTGCGCGCGGATGTTCTACTTTTAGCGCCTCGGAGTCGGGCAAACAAACGGCTGGCCGATAGGAGCCGACAGTCTGCCGTCCTTGATGATCTGCCGACTAAATTGTTGGGCTGATCGCTGCGCGTCGCGTCCTCCTGTACTCGGTGATCAAGTTATTTTGGCAGGCGGGCGGCAAAGTGTTAGCAAAGCAGAAGCAGCGGCAGTTGTGTCGAGGACGAGACCGAGGGAGAGCGGAGAGCCCCCCCTGCGCGGCGAGACTCGCCAAGCCCAGCCTCCCCACTTTGCGCCCCTTGCAGCTGCTGTGTCTGGCGGGCCGGCCCCGCCCGCCGCGACGCGCTGCCCATGCCGAAGAGGCTGAGCTAATCCTCTACGAGGAGCGAATGCGAATAATTATCAGGACCATGCTCGGCTCGGGGGCCTGAAATAGACTTGGCTTAAATATTGTGGCGCCGCTCCTCGGCCCGGCCGCGCGGCGTACGCTCGTATGTGGCACAAAAGCATTGAGGACAATACAAGTACTCGCTCTTACTGCGCGCTATCGCAGCCCCCTCCCTCCCAGAGTTGTTATCGCAGGCGCGCACACGCACGCTCGGTGTAAGGCTGTGTGCGACGTTTACACGACGATCATGATTATATGTTTTCGTGACTGTCACGCGTTCTCGTGTGTATTGTTTCGGGGGAGGGGAGTTCTGGTCACACTCTTGTTCCTTCCCTCCGCATAACGCCCTGGCGGCGCGGCCGGGCCCAGATGGCCGAGGCCCAAGTGCGAGGAGCCCGCGTCGTGCTGCCAGGCATTGGCGGGGAATTTGAATTTGAATCGGCGCCGAGGCGTATGACATGTGCAGCTCTGCACCGCGCTCTGGTGCGTGGGGGACCAGGCGACGACGTCGCGGTGGCCGCGCTGCGTGGGTCGACCGGACCCGACCGGCCGGACCTCACCTCTCGACCCCTCCTCGCCGCCGCTGTCGTCGATAGGCGCCCCGCGCTTTCGTTCGTGTGCGACGTCGCGTGGGGCTCGGCCGGGGCTGGCGCATTACAGCGTTAATTACAGCGGGCGACCCTTTGCTCTGCGTCAGCCGGCGCGAGCCGAGCAGTCAGTCAATAAGTCATGTCGGCTGGCCGCGTATGGCGCGGGGGTCAAGTCTCTCGAGTCTGTTGCACGCGCCGAGTCGACAAGCCAAGAGCCGACGCGGTGTTGGTGGTGGCGGTGGGAAAAAGAGAACAGTACACTTTTTATTACTAGTTGTTTGCTGCGCGGCGCCGTGTCGTGTCACCACCACACCACCGGCCGCCGGGGGAAGCCGCAGCAGTCCGCGGG